TTTTCCAGCTGAACCACTCATTGGGAAATGTTGAAAAACTCATTTTGAAATCGCATTACCTTAGTAATAATTGCTTTACTGTACTTTATTTGCCAGAATCATAGTGCTGTCTGTTTTCCTGTATTGAGGAAATGGCGATATTTCTTTGTTCACATCCTTTTTCTTTTTGTTTTTATCTCTTCCCATCACTTTGAAGGTATGCACAGTTTACACTGTTGCCTGACCTGTGGCTTGTTTGAATTGTGATGWCAGAAGCAGTGGTGGAGAAAGTACTCAAACACTGTACTTAAGTAAAAGTACAGATAAACAGACAAGAATGTACTCTAGTAAAAGTTAAAGTACCACATTAACATTTTACTTGAGTAAAAGTAAGTAAGTACTTGCTTTTAAAATACTTAAAGTATTAAAAGTAAAAGTACTTGCTTAATGTGTTCCCTAATGGTCTACAATATCATGAAGTGTGCCTACTGCATGTATATTTTAATACATCAATGGTGCCATTTTAGTGAACAATGCTGCAGATAGTTTTGTGTTTACCCTCTGTGACACTGTTCACACTTGGCCTTGTGATTCTGTGCATCATCACATATTGTGACAACAGCTGCAGAAGATGTAAATTCACCACCAACCTCCTCTATCAAATCTCAACAAGTCATTTTTTTGAACCAGTTAAATAAGGCCATGAATGGCACATTTCCTCCTTGGTGGAAACCATTGTGGGCATGCTGATGCTCTGCTTTTTTATGAAGGAGGGTGTAATGGTACTTTCCTGCTTTGTTCAGTGGACCAATTACAGCAATTCCCCCTCTCGCCACTAAAATCAAATAAATCACAAATAAAATACAATAAAATAAAATAAAAAATAAATCGACGTGACATGAATGTACTTTGTAATTCAACGCATTACAGAAATTTAGTGGAGTAGAAAGTACAGATACTTAATGAAAAATGTAGTGGAGTAAAAGTCGAAAGTACCCATGATGAAATCTACTTAAGTAAAGTACAGATACATGAAAAATGTACTTAAGTACAGCAAGAAAGTACTTGTACTTAGTTTCATCCCACCACTGGACAGAAGAGAGAGTTGCCATTTATACCAGCATTTCAAATGGGCAGCATTCCCTGCAGTTTTTCATTTAAACTATAGGTGTCACTACTGAAAACTAAACTAAAGTAAGTTGTTCAGAGGAAGCACATTTTTTCTAAAGTTTTATCTTGTCCAAGAGTTTTTTTTTWAATTTCTTTTACCTTTTTGGCTTGTATTAATTTGCATATATATAGAAACAAACCTGCTTGCGGATTCTGTCCTGCCACTATTCCTATTTTACAGCTCATCATTGCAGCAGCTTGTGACAAGTTACAAACATTTGGATCTGCACGACAAGTTGAAACAATCACCCAACATCTGGAATTGTAAAATCATGTAGTTGTGTTAGAGGCTCGCAAATGGCGAGTAAAAACCAGGTGTCCATATGACTCAGCTTTAAGGTAAAATATGCAGAYAGAATCCACTCTTTCATGACTTAATACAGGCTACTGCATGTTTGAGCCCACATGTCCTAACAAGTGCACATATCCAGGTTAGTCTGAAGCCTAAATAATTGATTTGTTGTACTWTTATATATTTTTGTTTTTCAGGAAGATCCCTATTTGTTTTGACAAAACAAGACTGCAGTTAAGACTGTAGACAACTATCAGCTCACACTTTTTTCTCCTTTTTTTTCATGCTCATGTTCATTGAGCACGTGACTTTTCCATCTTGTCTCCGGATTGTGCAGCCTTCTCTCATAACTCTCCTGTCTCTCGTGCTTGAACCCCAGAAGCTATTTGAGCTGCAGATGGACCTTTTTTAGGTTCATCTGCCTGTTTTCAGTGAGTGCATCCATCACTGCAGAAGAACAGTAAGCTGTCAGGCTATAGGATTAGAGCAAGGAAGAGAGCAACATCTTAGTTACTCTGTCTAATTAAAAAGGCTGTCTGGAGACTGTGTGTCTCTGGGCGTCACCCAGCCCACATAAAGCCCATAGCAAAGCAGTTAAAGTGTATACGTTAGGAATGTGTGAGGATGGACCTACTTTTTTTTAGGTTACCTAGTAAGTAAAATGTAGTCTCTAGTTTCTATAATTAGTGCTACGAAATTATTAGAATATTTGTAATCCACAGTGTTAATACATTGCATTTTCATTTCAGATTTTCTTTACACTTCTTGTGCTTTATTTTTAGAAAAATAAAGCAGTATGTTAACCAGCAGTCGATAACAATAAGGAATAGGTTCAGCCATTTGGACGTGGGTTTCTGTGGAAACTGTAACTAATATCTTATCTGTTGTAGATAGCACTTAGAATGGGTTCACATTGGAGAAATAGTTTACATTTGGATTGACGAGCTAACGGCTAGTTCAAGTAGGGCTGGTATGCTCCATCTAGGAGTGGCTAGGACGTAACATGAAAGAGTTCCAGCTTTTGYACAACTCAAGCAGCTGCAGAGACAGAATGATGATTTTAGAGAAAAGGTGTGATTTATTTACAGTGGTTGTGTATTTTACAAAAAACAGTGTGAGTCTAGACCAAAATATCAAACAGAACGTAAACTCTCTTACAGTATCTTAACTGTGAAAAGAAATAAAATTAAACAAAGCACAGTTTTCTTTCCTTTCTGGACTAATAAAAATAGGGAAAGCAAGTCTTGAAATAAACTAATTAATCAGCTGCATGCACACACAAAACTTTTATGACATCAGTCCTAACAGGGGCTAAGACCAAAATGGATTGCTGTCATTTTAAAATCATGTTTATACTTTAAAAAAAAAAACCTTACACTTCTGTTGCTTTCATGTTAGTTATTCATACAGAACTCAATGGTGGCAGCTGCTAGCTGTAGCATTTTAATAGGAATTTTTTAAATTTCCTCCAAAATAAACTTAATTGATGAAATGAGCAATACAAGTTTAAAGATTGAAAATGCTTTAAAATGACAAAATATTTATTTTCAGTTGGTCTGCACAGTTTAGCCAACATTAGCAGCCCGGCTCAACCCAAGTGGACTCACTTCCGAACTGGATTTAGCTGCCTTAAAATAACTTTGGTTATAAACATTTGCCAGTGGTTCATGTAAAACTTCATAATTAAACTGTTGTCAATTTGCGTTATACTGTTATTTTGACAATTAGGAAATTCCTCCTAAAAGAGTTTAGGTTTGCAAATAACCGGAGTTCCATGAGACTGACCGTTTAAATGTGAAATTAAGTCTGTTGTAAAAGTTCATAAAATAATTTGGATACATTTTTTGACATTATGGAGATTGGAGCCGTTTCAGAATGAGTCACCTTTTAGTTTTAGCTGCTTTCAGACTAGCTGTTAGCTCGTCAGTTCAGTCAGACGGAACTCTATAATTATATTTATAGATTTATTATTATTTATTTATTATAATTGTAGACTGTCTCTATAATTAGTGCTGCAAAAATCAATCTATAACAGTAGGGGTAAAAATATGGATTCATCAAAGCATTACAATTCTTTTTTTTTTTTCCAATTCAGTATCGATTTAGAAAATCCTCACATACAGTTTGATCCCCGGGCCGGTTTGTCATGTTTTATGTTAGCTCTCCATATTTAAAACAAGTAATATTGTGTTAAAGTTTTATTTTCAGATATTTTATTTCTCAAAAATGGTAATGTATACCATTTTTGTTTATATGGGCAAGAAAATATCTAAAAAATTATCCACAGAGACTCTGATGAATCTGTGTGCTTCCTTTTACAATGAAAATAGTATTGAAGTATTTAAAACAATATTAAATCAAAGTTTAATTGAGTTGTGACCCAAAGAATTGAGATCAAATTGAATTGTGAGGTTGTTAACAATACCCAGCCCTAAACAATAAGTAGGATATTAATTATTTATACCGTTTCCACAGATACCCCATTTTAAAACTTTTGAACTTTTTTTTTAAAACGTGACAAAAATCACCCTACATCTGTTAAAGACTGCTGTACTGTGATTAAGGCTACCAGTACATCAGTCTGGGAAATGACTGATTCTGAAGCACTATGGGCTGCTGTGAAGCCAAATGAATCTGCTGCTGCTCCTATGATGAACAGGGAGATGGAGAAAAAAAAAAACCAGGCAGGAACATGACATTCGTGAGGCAGCGCTGGCAACTGTCTCCAGTTAGATTTTAAAGTCGCTAATTTTATCTCAACAGTTACGCAACAGAACATCAAGCTGTTCAGATAAAAGCAGCGTTGGCTCGTTTTCGCCTTCAGTTCTCACTTCCTCTCTTTCTCCCCATCCATCATCTACCTTTTCATTTCTTTTAACTTTGTTTTTTTGGGAGGGAAGTTTTTATGAACCCAGTATAAGATGCCCTTGAGTGTGTGAAACGATTTGAGGCGAGCAATAATGCAGCGTCACCACACAACAGACACACACAGTGGAAGCTGTTTGTGCTGGAACGTTGGTTCTGCTATGAAGAAAAAATGTATRTATATCTGTAGCTAAACCAGATGCAGATGTAACACGGCAAACAAAAAGGACTTGAGGCAAAATGGGAACTCCTCTAATCATTCACATTTAACCTGAGGTGTTATTACATATAAAAATAACAAAAAATCAGAGGAACATTAAAACATGTCACAGTTAACATGTCTCTGTGTTCATTCATTCCCAAAGCACCTTTGTATCCCAAACTGTGTATCAAATTTGGTGACTCTTAATAATAGATGTGTTTGGTGTAAATATTTCATGGTCGACTGACTGAAAACACTTGCCTGTCAGAGATATGGCGTTAAAGTGAGGTGGGGTGGGGGTGGGAGGGGGATCATACCCAGGGAACGAGAGCGAGTGAGAGTGAAATTTGAGACGAAGAATTTTAAACTCGTCATTCTAACATCATTATGTCAGTCCTGCTGCTGCGCAAAGGCTTCCACAGAATATAAGTTCATTTTGCCTCCTCCATTTCTCTCCTCTTTCCCCCCACCCCCACCCGCCTCACCCTGCAGGGCTCTCAGGATTCTACCGGAGGACAGGGGGGTTTGGTCGCCCCTCCTTTTACAACCTTCCCTCCGCCGCCGCCTCCTCAAAACGGGCTTCCGGGAACAGAGTTTGGCCCGGGGGCCATGTTTGGCGCAGCGGGCCAAGGTACAGCAGAGGTAGGGGTCGGTACAAACGGAGCCACCACCACAACCAGCAACAACGTAAGCAGTCTGTGTTCAGAAATACTTTATTTTAGTTAGCTTTRAAAGGTGTTATACGTACACAATTATTTTCTTTTTATGTAAATAATTCATATTTTTAGTGCCTAATCTTTGGTTAGTTATGCATTTTTGTGTGTTCAATGGTATTAATCATTAAAGCATCCTAATTAATAARCATCTGTTGATCTGTCACTTTAGTCATAATTTTCAGTTTTCTAATCCTCCCTCAGCTTTAGAAGAACTCAAACTGAAAAAAACAAACAAAAACAACATAACAAAATAAAAAAGCAACAACATGGAGCTCGATTTGGAACACTGTTATGTCTTTTGATGCAGATAATATTTGCAAAAATAAACAAATAAAAATATCTTGTACACAAAAATGGGTTTTAGTGAAATAAGTGAAGAACACAGTCCTCTCTGGAGCTCTGAAGGAAATTTCAGTTAGAATTAAAATGGGTGGAAGAAAGTTGGATTTTATGTTACTGAACTTTAACTTTAATAACGATTTAAGGTTTTCACTCATTCATGGTTTAAAATCAGATTTTTAGGGAMATTTTACCACAAAATCTAAATAATATTACGGGTGATTCTAAATTCAGCTGTTTATTTTTTTCTAAATGTTTTTGCAATCTCATCTTATTCTACAGTTTTTGCATCAACATGTAATATGTCCTACTTTGACCCAGTGTGTCTCTCACTTAGTGCTGTACCAAACGATTATTTTCTAATCGATTAATCTAACGATTATTTTTTTTGATTAATCGATTATTCTAACAACAAATCTATAAGTTATTCTGATGTGAGTGCACTGGATATTTAAAATGTTTTCATCAAATTAACAAGAACAGTTCTTTAATATTGTAATATTTTCTTTAATAGTTTTTTCATGAACACAAAATATGCACTCTAGAGTCAATTCTTTAACAAATAAAAGCTTAAAGATTTAACATCAACATAAAATCTCAACCAAAGCATATAAAATTCAACTAAAAGAAATACAGTGCAAGATGTTAACAATCTAACAAATGAACTAAATCATACAAAATTCAAGTCACTCTCTGGAAAACCTATAATAAACATTTATTTATTATATTTTATTTAACATATTTCTCAATATATGAAAATTAACAAATATCAAGACAACATCCAACTCTTTGTTTTGTAACATCAGTTGTGTAACTTATTTCTTTAAGGTGAAAACTGTTGAAAACAACAAGACTGTTTTGTCTTATTGTACAAATTAAAATCCAGCTCCACGTGTTTCTATTGGTGTCATTTCCCCACTAGAAAAATGTGTGATGGAGGTCCATGGAAGGCAAATAAGTTTAAATCAAATAAACAAAAGAGGATGGAGTTAAAATAAATAAAAGGTATTTAAGCTACGTTTTGAACATCCAAAACACGTCCAACACTTGTTGGCTGCTTGTGCTCTTTAGGTCAGACATGTGTCGGAAAGCTCCTCTGTTGTTTGAGACGCTGGGGGAACCGTCTGATGGAGGAACTGTCTGATGGGGGAACACGGCTCGACCTAACACCGCTCTCTGTTTAATGGTGGATGAAATAAAGAAAGTGGCGGTACTTTATTTACTTTGAGCAAGCGAACGTCATGTTCACAAGATAATTAATCCACCAGATAATTCCAGGAGCTGCGATGCTTTCAAGSTTCAGACTGAACTGAAGCAGCGGCTGCTGACGTCATTACGCTCTTGCGCGATGCTGCGTTCAGGACAAGCATGGAAAACTCACCACTCTTATGTCACTACGGTCGCAATGATGCATTTAGGTACCAAAATGGAATTGCATGAACATTCACGTGGTGGTTATGTAAGACAGCGAATCGATAATAAAAAATCTGCATCGACAAATTTACGTAATCGACGTCATCGATTATTTCAAGTAATCGGTGCAGCCCTAGTCTCACTGCGTTAATCTTGTGACTTTTCACTCAACAGTTTATTCATCCAAGCTCTCAGACTTCCATTATATCTGAGATGAGAATATTTTTCATTATAACTTGAAGTGAAGTTTTTTTTACTTGTCATGTAGCATGCATAAAACATAGCCAAACAAGGGTTAATAACAGCTGATGACAGTAATGCGACTGGGAGAAAACCCCATCACGTCAGCGTGATGTTTCTGAGCATATGAACATGGTGACATGAGCAAATAGTTCAAAACTCTACATCTTGGCCTCACAAAGCTGCTATTGTGGCTGAACATTTTCTCTGATCTGCACGGAAAAAAATTTCAACCTTGTCATTCAGTCAACTGTATAAATAAACAGACACGCTGCTATTTTATTCTGCTCTGAATAAGTTATCGGCTTCTTTATTTTGCACTGTATGTAAAAGCTGATTTTTGTAGCATTATTTTTATGAAATTTCAGGCCCTGTAAAAACATCCCTCATGTATGTACATGTATGCATGTTCTAGAGAAAGAAACGGTTTAAAATTGAATTGATGATGAACCAGAGCTTAATATGGCAAAATAATTTCCAGTGAATTATTAACACACACACACACACACACACACACACACAC